ACATGTTTGGGGTACAGCCTCTGTCCATGGGATGGGAGCTCAGGGGATGAGAATAGTGGGTCTGGAATAAGCTTTGGATTTAAACCTCTGACTTGTGCTATGGGCACTGGGACCTGGGCAAGTAATTGACTTTTCTGGGTCTGTTTACTACTCAGTAAAATGTGCAAAGGATTAGATGGGGAAAGAAAATGAGGTGAACGTCCCTAGCCTGGTGAACTTAAGAAGTGTTCTGAAGGTCTGTTTCTTCCATGGCTGATGGCTCCCTTTTTTCTCTCCTCCTGGTGCCTGGCCTGGAAGGATGCCACTCTCCTGCTTGGTGTTCTGGCCCCCTGCTTGGTTTTCTTTCTCTGCTTGTCTAGTGATCTCAGCCTCACTCCCATGTTTTCTAGTCCTGAGCCCACCATGTCAACATCTGGTGCCTCCTACTGCCCCTAAGAGCTGCATGAGATGGGGATTATGAATATGGCCTCTGGAACCAGACCACCTACATTTCAACCCCAGTTCCATCACCTCCTGGCTTGGTGCCCCTGTGCCTCACTATCTCACTTGTAAAATGTGGATGATGATAACAATAGGGTTTTTGGAAATGATTAAATGAGCTAATGCATAAAGTACTTAGATCAATTCCTGGCAGGCAGTAAACACTCAATATATGTGAATTATTACAAGCTTGGGCCTTCCTCTGCATTTCTGACACCACCCAGAATGTCTTCTTTATAACTGCCTCTTACCTACTCTCTCCTCCTTTCTCCTTTCTCACAAATACTCTCTACCTACTGTTCCTTCCCCCTCTCCACCAGGGCCCCCATGGCACCCAGTTGGTGGTGCCCAGCAGCCTCACCAAGTACATCCTCAGGTAGTTCTCTTGCATACATTGAATATCAGATGTATTTGGGCTCTGATTTTTAGTTTTCAGGGCCCTCTTATCTCCTAGGGCTAGAGACAGTGAGGAAGTGATAGGTAAGGGAGATAAGAAGGGTTGGGCATCCCAATTCTTTGGCAACACTTCAGGTTTGAAGAAGGAATAATATAGTCCTTGCTCTTTACAGGTAGTCTCTAGATAATGCAAGCAGTTAACATGCTTGAATGCTAACCTAAAGGCTGGAGGTTCATGTCTACCTAGAAGTACCTCAAAAGAGAGGCCTGGTAATCTACTTCTGAAAATAGCTTTTGAAAACCTTATGGAGCACAGCTCTATGCTGACATACAAGGAGTTCTATGAGTTGGTGACTCAATGGCAACTGATTTTTGCTCTTCCAGATACAGCACCATCTTCTTTCTTTTTCTTTTCAGGATGGACAGAGCAGGTGAGAGCCAGTACAAAGTCAAGAACATGTGAGTCTTTTAACGAGTCAAGTAGAAGAGAGTCAGAATTGAAGATGTAGAGAACCAAAAAAGGCTGGATCAGGAAGGAGCTTAGAAGTAAGAGGGAAACCAGGAGGTCCTGGGGAGTGAACTACCAGCCTTCTTGTGCTGGCTTCTTAGGTCATGGGGCATTTACTGGCAGGCTGACCTGGAGACTTCCTGACCCACCCTGGATCACTAATTAATCTTGGAAGGCTCTTTTCTCATATTTCATATTTGATAACCAGGTTGTGGGATGGAAAGAGTCAGGGATTGCTGGAATCTCTCCTTCCTGCACCTCCACTCTGCCCCTGTGAGTATCTCAGAGTAAGGGCCATCAGCTCCTATGAAGGACCAAGGAACCATGCAGGGAACCCGTATCATCTCCTTTCTCCAAGGCATCACTCTGGGGAGAAGGACATGTGGGGAGGGGCACATTTTAAAAGATTGAATCAGTAGATGCCATCTTGGAATTCATGATGCAACAGAATGAAAGCACAGCAGACACTGTTAAGTATAATACAATTCAACATTACACAGATTCCTTTAGGCCTCAATTAAACCAAGCTCTCCCAACCAGAATAACTATGGGTAAGATAATATAATACAGTTAGCAGAAAATGTGGTTGTGGTCCTATCCTCCAACCCAAAGCATTAAAAGACCCATGACAGGTGATTGCCTTTTCCAGAAATGTGGCTGCAAACCTGAGTTGCATTCAGATTGGTCACACCCATAGCTCAGCCTGCCCTGGCCCATGGACATTGGCAAAAGGCTTCATGATACTCTGCCTCAGAGTGGACATGATATGTTCCCAGACTCACATCTGTGTATGGGCTCCCACTGGGGATGCATGATGCTCTGTATCTTTTCTTATAGACTTGTCCTCAGTTTTCTCTGTGGAGAAAGTTGGTTGAGAGCAAGGGATGTGACAGGTACTGCTGGAGACTGCAAGATGAATCCAGAACTTGGAGAACTTCTGGAGGAGTAGTTGTCCCCAAACTTCAAGACATACATTGCAGTGGCATCCACACAGGTCCTCCTCCCACAGGTGTGCTCAGACTATAATCTATCCTCAGGCAGATTAAATGAGACACAGTTGTGGAGATTTCCAGGGAGCTAGCTCTGATTCCACCCCGTTTGCTCCTATTTAAAAAGCACGGAGGAATGTGAGAGTGGCATTGTAGGGCCAATCTTGAATCTACATGAAGGTATGAAGAAAGAGAATTGTTCTTCAAGCCTTGTTGTTTGAGATACTGAAACTATAATTAGTGACAAAGCACTTGTCACATTTCCACAGGTGGGCCTGACCAACCTGTGTGCAGCAAACTGGTGGACAAGAAGACAGGGTCACAAGTTTGCAAGACCATTCAGAGCCATTCTTGGTGAGTCTCAAAGGCCACAGACTCCCAAAACTCTGAGGATCCCTCTGGCTCCTTGGATGGGTGGGGTGGGAGGTGACTCCAAGGAACACTAGGGACATTGGTACCTGCCTCAAGACCTACCTCCTGGAATTTCACACAATGCAGAGGGAGCAAGTTTGGGGTCTGACTCTGAAAACACAACCAATCTGTGAAGGGTGGTGATACTTGGAGGCTTGTTAGAGAGGAGTTACTGTGGCAACTTGTTTGGTAGACCAGAAGGCTGAGGAGTCAAAAAGCCATCAATTCAAATAGGATTAGTCTTTAAACTTCATTATCAGACTCTTTCCAGTGGAGCCTTTGGCCTGGTCCAGAGCAACACAGCTAGTTCTCCCACAGGTACTACTTTCTGGTTTTTTTTTTGTTTTGTTTTGTTTTTTGACTTAAAGACCTCTTTGTTGCTACAGGAAGCCCCAAGTATAGGGAGCACTTACCTCACTGGTACTCTCTGCTTGGTAGGACAGGAGTAGTACTGAGACCCTCTGAAAACCCACTTCTAGTCTCTACCACAGACCCCAGGAGGCTCCCTGTGTGTCTCCAAGAGAAGCTGCACATAAGGCACTTGGAGAAGCAGATGAGAAGCAAGCCAAGAGAGGGGGTGACATGAAACAGTTTGGAGGTTGAGGAAGTGTCTGTACAGTTCCTAATGTTAGCACACTCTCTCTTTCCTCTGAAGAAGCCCTGATGATGCAGTGTATAATGCACTCTTCTGCTATTCAAATGATCAGTGGTTTGAACCCACCAGCTGCTCCACAAGAGAAAGATGAGGCAGTCTGCTTCTGTAAGATTTACAGCCTTAGAAATCCTATGGGGGAAGTTCTACTCTGTCCTATATGGTCACTGACCCAGAATTGACTCTACAGCAATGGTGGATTTTTTCTCTTTCTTCTAAGCTTTTGCACATACCATTCTTGCTGCCTGAAATGCTTTTATTTCCCCTCTTTGCTAACTCTTACCTTTCTTTTTGTTGAAAGTGTGGATGACATGGCCTCCAGGAACCTCACTGCCTTCTCCCAGGTCAGAATTAAATAACTCCTCTGCCTTCCCAACAACCACTTCACCTCACCAAGAACGGAGCACTGGATATTCTAATTGCTGTATCTGATTGGCTATATCTCTCACTGTGGAAAGCAAGATGAGAGTAGGGGCTGCCTCTATCTTGATTCAATTCAGGGCCTGGCCCAGAGCAAGACATTCAATAGATAGGTGCTCTTACTTGATGGGTGGGAGCCAGGATAGCAGAGGTTGGATTTCTAAAATGAATTCCATCTCTAGAAACCTACAGGCCATTCAGATGTGGAATTTGATCTTCTCAGTTTTGATTCTTAATAAAGATGATGAGGAGAAGAATCTTATATAATTCCTCTGTAATTCTGCATCTTGCTATTCTAGACTGGGCAGGCAGAAACAGGTAGCAGGAGAGGAAGTTAGGGCAACATGCATCATCCTTGGCTAATTGCCAAGTTCAGAGGGCAGACAAGCAAATGCGAAGGGGTTAGGAGGTCAAGGTGAAATTATGACATCCCCTAGCCTACACCACTGCCTCCAGTGTAAATACTATATAATTGGAATCAAACCTCCTTGACTGGCTAATTCTCAGAGCTGTATTTAGTGGGGTGTGCCCCAGTGTTTTTTTCCGGGGACCCTTCATTGTTCAGTCTTTGGACTGTTTGGTATTTGTGACTTGGTTGGTCTCTTGAAATGCAATTAAGTCTCACAACGTCCAGGAGATGGACTGTCAAACCCAACGAGTCAGAACTCAGCTTTCCCTCCTCTCTTCTCTCAAGTTCCTCGTCTGGTCAGTTCTGGTTCTAGAAGGACATGCTGTGGAATTCAGCTGTCCTACTCAGGCACTCAGACATGTAAACATGAAGTTCTCCTTGGGGCATGGCCCACCCCTAAGGAATTTCCCAGCATGCATAGCACTTGGCAGAGAGAGATGAATGATGCTAGATGCATGAGTAGGAATGAGAGCAATGAAAATGAATGGCTATCACCAGGATTTATGGGAAATATCAGTTAGAACAGAGAGGCTAAATGTGACACATCCAGCAAAGTTCCCAGGTTGCGCTGAATGGAAGCCCTGAGCTCTCTCTTTCCCTCAGGAAGAGGATCTACTTGGACCAGTTTTATAGTAAACCATATTGGGGAGATAGGGATATTGGATGTTAGTCATCAGAACTTCTCTTCCTGGTCATAGCGGCAGGATATGGTGAGAACAGATAATGAGGTCCTCATCAGCGATCCAGGAAAAAGGACTTGAGGTTCTGGAAGAAAGTGGACTTCTGTCTCTGCCTCTGTTTCTTTTTGATGATGGGCACCCACACCAGCCCACACACTAGCATCATTAGTCCCAGGGACAGGAAGGCAGGCCCTATCATCTTGAGGACAACCAGGATCTTCCTCTCCACTGTTAGGGTGTAGGCCAAGCAGGTGATGACCACACCGAAGAGCAGGATGGCACCACCCACAGACATGATGATGATGGGTTTGCGGTAGATTTCCCAATTACTTCTGGGGGTGGTGGTCCAAACAGACTCACTCCTGGAGCTGATGCACAGAGAGCTGGCCGTCTGGCTAGGAAGCAGATCTTTGGATTCTGGAGACCTTTCCTCGACCTCCAGAGCCTTGGGGAGAGCTTCCATTGTCACGGCTCCTCAGGACTGGGCACCTAGGACTAACAATAGTTATATATAAAGGTGAAGCCAAGGAAACCACACATGCCCTTCCTGTGCTCAGCACCCAGCACCCACCTCCAGCCTGGCTCTCAGAGAGGACAATATGTCGATTTTTAAAGCCAACAGGAAAGTCAGAAAAGATCCACATGAATAAGAAACCACCCAAGCTGGTACAGTAAGCCCCTTGTGTGAGACAAATGTATCATTCTAATAGACTTCTTTTAGTATTTAAAATAAAGAACAGAGGGACAATTAAAACAAAACAAAACAATGAAAAGCCACTATATTGGATGGCATCGTATTTTAAGATTTAACTACACTTTAGCTATGTGATCTTGAGTGAGTTACTTAACCTCTCTGTATTTCAGTTTAAAAACCAAACTCACTGCCGTTGAGTCGAATCCAACTCATAGAGACCCCTTCTTGGGTTTCCAAGGTGGTATCTCTATGGAAGTAGATTGCCCAGTCTTCCTTCCAAGGAGTGGCTGGTGGGTTTGGACCTCCAGCCTTCTGGTTAGCAGTCAAATGCCTTAGGCACTACGCCGCCAGACTTATCTATAAAACAAGGATAACACTATTACTTAACTCAGAGTTTTCAAAAGGGTTGAAAGGATTAAATGAGTTAATATATAGAATGCACTGGAACAGTGCCTAGTATATTGCAACACTCCATAAATATTATCAATTGACTATTAGGATAGTGATTGTGTATGTGTGTCTGTGGTGCCTACACTGTGCCAGATACAGTGCAGTGTTTACTGCCAATCACTTCTTCCTTCATCAGTTAAAATGCTGCAGGGCCCTGTGAAGTAAGCATTAACTCCATTTTACAGATGAGAAAGCTAAGGCTCAGAGAGATGAAGCAACATGTTCAAGATCACAGGGTAAGAAGCGGCCAGAGCTAAGATCTGAACCCACTCTAGCCTTTCTCTTAAAACTCTAGGTTAAATTTACGCTTCTAGTGCAGCCTGGGATTTTATAAGCCTTGTCAGCATAGAGCAGTGATGCCTCAGGTTCAGAATGTGACTTTCTAATATCTAAATGCTCCTCTGTCTGACCCTCCACATTAATTATACCCAGTCATTTCCACCTTCCTGTTCTTAGGCCAGTTTCAGTTGTCATTGAGTCAACTATGATTCATGGCAACACCACGTGAGTCAGTATAGAACTGAACTCCATAGGTTTTTCAATGGCCGAGTTTTGGAGAGTGGATCAGCAGGTCTTCCTTCTGAGGCACCTCTTGGGAAACTTGAATCATCCACCTTTCAGTTAGCAGGTGAGCACGTCAACCATCTGCACACAATTGTGGTGGTTATGTTTGTGTGTCAACTTGGCTGGGCCTTGTTGAGTGGCTGGGCAGCTGGAGGTAGTTATTCCCCACAATGAGATTGGCAATCAGCTCCATGGTGGGATCTACAACAAGTAGCTGAGTAGCTGCTTTGGGTTTGTGGTCTGCTTCCCATATATAAGAAGCAGCTTTGGAAATGGTCTCTAGTCTGTGGCACGCTTGGACCCTGCATGTAGCCATGTTGTTGCTCAGCAGCCTGCTATGCTCTGCTGACCTTGGGACTTACAATGGACTTAAGTTAATGGCCTGCTGTGTGGTTTGATAACATCAGGACTGTGCCATTTTACTTGTCAACCTTGGGGCTTTTCAGCCTCAGCAGCCAGCAGCTGTCTGAGTGAAGAAACATCTCTAGCTCCAGTGGGCCAGGAGCAGGAGGCAGAGCTAGACCCCAAGGTTGAGGAGCTTTTACCCAACCCATAGAGCCTGGCACTTTGAGCTTGGACTTAAAACCACCAAATTGTAAAAATACACTCCTGTTTGTTAAGGCCATCCCATTTGTGGTATATTTTCTTGTTAGAGTGGCACTAGGTAACCAAAACAACTACCTAATGACTCCTTTGGGGCCTGTAAAGGTATGGAATTCAACTCAACTGCTCATTCCAATTTCTCATTCCATCTCAGTAACCTGGGCTCTCTCATCTCTGGGTCCGCACAAACCAAAAACCAAACCCACTGCCATTGAGCTGATTCTGACTCATGGCAACCCCACTGGGTTTCTGAGGTGGTAAATCTTTACGGAAGTAGATTACCCAGTCTTCCTTCCGTGGAATGGCTGGTGGATTTGAACCATCAACCTTCCCGTTAGCAGTCAAATGCCTTAGGCACTGCACCACCAGAGCTCCTTTGAGTTCACACCAAGAAACCAAAACCAAACTCATTGCCATAGAGTAGGATCCGACTCATAGTGACCCTTCCTTGGGTTTCTGAGGCAGTATCACTACAGAAGTAGATTGCTTCACCTTCCTTCTGAGGAAGGTGAGGTAATTGGTCATCTGCGTGAAGCAATTTCAGAGCTGCTGATAGGCAATGCTCACCTGCCAAACACAACCAGTGTAGTGTTACTACAAATTCCTTTAACGTGAGATTAAAGCCTTTCATTCCATAATCAGAAATATGGGTTCTAATATAAATGCCAGTATGTTTACAATCGGACAATAAGATATAAATGACCGGTATTTCCTCTTCCCTGAAAGCAAGTTTTGTTTGTGAGGGAGAGGAGGCCCAGAGAGCCCAAGTGCCCTGCCTTGTTATCAATTAATTTTTTGAGTTGTCTCCAACGTGTTTATCACAATAATTTGTACCCCAAAGATTCATTATACAGTTTAATTGAATGAATAAGTGAACAAATAAATCCTTCCCTCTCTTCCTCTTTCTTTCTCCCTTCCTCCTTTTCTCCCTCCCTATTGCCTATCCTCCTTTATTTTTTCCTCCCTCTTGCCTTCTCTTCTTCCTTTCATTCTCTGCTTCCTCAATCTCTGTCTCCTTCTTTCCTCTCTCCCTCTCTCTCCCTCCTTCACTCTCTCTCTGACCCTTCCTCCCTCTCTCCTCTATCTTCCCTCCCTCCCTCCTTCCATCTTCCTCATTCCTCCCCTTCTCTCTCTTCACTGACCACTAAGAAAAACCTAGCTCTCTTTCTATAGGACCTGGTGTCTCCTCTTCACTCTGAAAGCTCTGTTAGCTGTGCTTGTTCAGATCTTGCTGACCATCCCCTCCTACTGAACCCTGGGTCACACAGTCTCTTACTTCTTTCCATTGAGACCCAGCCTGGGCTAACTTTCTTCAAGTTGTACTCTCAGCACCTTTTGCTTTCTGGTTCCCTGTCTTCCACAGCCTTCCTGCCTCCAGGAATCCTAGGGTTCTTCAACTTCTCCTTTGTTTCCTATCTCTCAAATTAGCACTTACAAATAATCTTGTTTGGATGGAAGAGATTTCTTTCTACAGTGAAATGTCTATTGGGGAAGATGGGCTATATCTACACACCCATCACAGTGAATTACTCCTCCTCACATGAAGTATAATACTAATTGGAGGGCTAGAGTCAGACTCAACTGTTCCTGGACTCTGGCTAAAGGACATCTTGGAATGAAGGAGATGATATTTCCAGATGGTGGTCCCTGAGCCTTTAGGCTTTGGAACCTGCCCATTTCTCTTTACCCAGACACTATCACATATATAAAAATCCTTCATTATATGTTTTTTTTTTTTCCTTCAACACTTCCTATTGTGTTAATTTCGAACTTAGTTGCTCCTCCCACTTTTTCAATCAGCAGCTCAGAGATGAAGCTCTTGACAGGTGTTCCCATTCCCTGAAGCAGAAGACTGAAAAATATTTTTTTTTTTTTTTTTTTTAATAACATAGATACCCAGGTGTTTGCTTCCATTTCCATCATCTGTCATATTTGCATAAGCTAAGTAGTCATTTTAAAAGTGATCTTTGCCTTTGTGTACTGGGGGTTGGGAAGGGAGGGGAGAAACAACTGGAGAACACAGAGAGCTTTTTTTGTTTTTATGAAATTCTATCAGGAAACATGTTGGTTGTTGCTATCTAATTTTATCTGAGTATGGTTTGTCATTTATGAGTAAGTATCCCTGGGTGGTGTCAATGGTTAGAATATTTGGCTGCTAACCAAAAGGTTGGAGTCCACCCAGAGGCACCTCAAAAAAATGCCTGACAATCTACTTCTGGAAAATTAGACATTGAAAACCCTAGAAAGCACAGTTCTACTGTGACACACATGGGCTCTTCATGAGTCAGAATCAACTAGATGACAACTGGTTTAGCCATTTTTACCACCTTACCGTGAAGACTCGATAAACATGATAGTTGCCTTCAGATATTGGAGAGATTGTTATAAAGAAGTTGAAACATAGCAATTCTCAGATGCACAGAGAACAGGGCTGGGCTGGGTGAAGGACTTTCTCTGGTGAGAATGCCCTTTGGGGTGTGAAGTGTTCACTGAACAAGGAACAGGAAGTATTCAACTGGAGGCAGAGGTGACCACTCTCTAGGGATAATGAGTTCCTGGATTCTGAGAGAGGAGGGGCTGAATTAACTGGGCTTACAGGGAGCACCTAATACACCCTTTATCCTTTAGCCCTGTGAAGAGGTCATTAGTTTATTCCCATTTTACAGTGCCAGAGACTGAGGCCCAGTGACAGTTCAGAGCTTGGCCAAAACTCCAAAATTCATGGATTCAGTCCAAGTCTTTGGACTTAAAGATCGTTGAACTATACCACAGCTGGTCTGGGTAAGTTCTGAGGGTCCTCTGATGATGAGAATCTCTGAATTTTTTACTTTGGGGTACTATGCTGTAGTAAAGTAGCCTCTCACTGAATATACAATAATGTGAATATATAATAATCCCTAGGAGTGCTGGTGATGTAATGCCTAAGGCATTTGATTGCTAACCAGAAAATTGGTGGTTCAAACCCACCAAACTCCTTGGAAGGAAGATTGGGCAATCCACCTCCACAGTGATACCACCTTGGAAACCCAAGGAGAGTTAACTATGAGTCAGATCTGACTCGACAGCAGTAAGTTTAGTTTGGTTTTGGTTTATAATAATCCCTAATACTCTGCTTGATTATTGAACAATAGCATTAACATCATGTGCAAGTA